TAAAACCTCACACATGTTTTTCTTTTCTTTTTTTAAAGTGCAAATTGGTTCTTTTTTATTACATTTATTTTTTCATGTAGAATTCATTTTGAATATGGAATGAAATCAGAAACTGGGTTTACTTTCTCTGAATGGATGGACAGGTGGTTCTAAAAAACCTTAATGGAGTAAATTCATTTATTTATTTATTCATGTTTATTGAGCACTCATGTGTCATTATGTGATAGAAGATTGTTAAATAGGTATATAGAAGGCAGGAAAGTTTTATCCTTCTGATATTGATGGGAATGCTTTGCATGTTCACAACTAAGTCCAATTTTGATATTACTTTATGAATATTTTTCAGGAAATATCTGTGTATCCTGATACAAACTACTATTTTTAAAAATCAGGAATAGCTCTTATATATTCAAAGTTAAGTGTATGTTAAGGAAACTATTTTCAATTTTGAATTATATTAATAGACTTCATCACGTTCTATTCTTGTTTTGGCAAAATAGACAACACAGTAGATTCTGCTCTTAATTTGTATTTTCTATCAGATTTTATATTAATATTCACTAAATGATAGGCTAAGCTTTCCTTTTTGTAGTCACTGTCTTATATTTTTATATATGGCATGCTGGTTTAAAAAATAGAAAATGTACCTCTTTTTAAGGATGAATGAAATTGAAATTATTAGTTTCTTAATAGCAGACAATAATTCACCTGTGAATCAGTATGGGCCTGTTGCATATGGAGGAATCTAATGTTTAAAAAGTTGCTTCAAGGATATTTAGTAGATATAGGTATTCTACCTCTTTTTAATTTTTTTTAGGTTTTATTTATTTATCTTGAGAGAGTGTGAGCAGGGAAAGTGGGTGGCAGAGAGAGAGGGAGAGAGAATCTTAAGCAGGCTTGTACCGCTAGCACAGAGTCATTGTGGAGCTGAACTCACCAATACTGAGACCATGACCTGAGCAAAACCAAGAGCTGGATGCTTAATCCACTGAGCCACACAGGCACCCTGGGTTTTCCACCTCTTAATGATGCATAATTAATGACTTAATGACAAAGGGAAATTATTTGTATGTCCTTTGTATCTTCAGATGATTTAATTTTAGGATCTGAGATTTTTCCAGTTTTAGGATTTCTTAGGCTACTTAGTGGTTGGTCAAGTTTGTGGATTTTTAAATATCAGCTAGTGCATTAGATTGCCAATTTATCACTGTCTTTTTCTGCATCCTTGATATCTCTTGGGGACTTCATTCTTTTGCTTGTCTTCATATTTATTTTATTTTCATCGTTTTTGTTTCTTGAATACAAATGTGGTAAACAAAAATGGTCTTCAGAAGGATTAAGGCAAAGAGTTAAAAAAAAAAAGGAAGGAAAACAAGGTAAAAATTTGAAGACATTTTTAAGTTACTTTAAAAGAAGTAAAAGATGTGAAGACTTATAGAGATGATTCTTCAAAGGAAGAAACCACATAGCACAAACCTATGCAGAGATAAAGGTCCCTGTGAACCCAAAGTCCATTGCAGAGACACATGGGAGCTGGCACTGCCAGCAGCTGTGAGAACTACACCCGGTGCCAGCCCTTCTGACATTTGCTCAAAACTCTTTTCTTCTTCTTTCCTCAATTAAGTTCCCTCCCAATACAATTATCCTAGAGGCTATGAGTATCTGGTTCTGAGCTCATTAGGAAAACCTGACTCTATGAAGAATTCCCAAAATGTATTTCAAAACTAGATGAATCTAAAAGCAATATTACTGGGGCACCAGAGTGGCCCAGTCAGTTCAGTGTCCAATTCTTGGTTTCAGCTCAGGTCATGATCTCTCGAATCATGATCTCACATCTCCTGAGTTCTAGCCCTGTGCTGGACTCTGCACTGACAGTGTAGAGCCTGCTTGGGAGTCTCTCTCTCCCTGCCTCTCTTTGCCCCTCCCACATACTCTGTCTCAAAAATAAATAAATAAACTTAAAAAAAAAACACAAAAAGCAGTATTCCCTATATAGCATTGTCCAGCAGGCTCAGGTTGATTGGTTTGCATTCTGTGGTTAATTTCCTCAACTATGATTCATTTTAATTGGCATATAAACTGACTAGGTCTGCTTATTTCAGGCAAAATGACAGAAACTAATGATAATTACTATTACTGTAGCAAGTAACTGAACAATTTATTGGAGAATATAGGGTATATAAATTCACAACCCATTTAAGAACCCATTTGCTGGGAAGAAGTAAGCATGAATAATTCTACTTGTATTGGTCAGTATGACTTTTCTTCAGTAAATTTAATCATATTTGTTCATTTTAAGGAACATATATATTCCTTATATATATCCCTAATATATATATTCCTCATATTTTAATACTATTCCAGATATTTTAAAAGGATCTTTTCTTTATAAAAACAAAGCATCTCAGGCTCATTTGGAGATTTTTCTGATTCAATATTGATTCATAGATAAAATACATTTTGTTGAATGGAAGAAACCAGACTCAAAAGACCACTTATTATATGATTTCAGTCATCTAACATTCTAAAGAGGCAAAATTGAGGAATGGAAACAGGAATGTTTGCCAGTTGTGGAGGAAAGGATAGATGACTATGAAACAATGCAGAGTATAATTTTTAAGGTTATGGAACTGTTCTTTTCAGTACTGGAGTAGTAGATACACGGCTTTGTGTATTTATCAAAACCCATAAAACTGTACCTCACAAAGGGCAGGATTCAATGTATGGAAATTAAAAGATTATGTCAGGTGCCTGGCATCCCAGAATGTACTATAAACTGTAACAAATGAATCTAACTATGAAAAATTTTTGACATAACCCTACTGCAAGGAGTGGAGATAAAAAGATGTTGACTTAAGTAATACCAACAAATGGCATTTAGACTGAACACTGTAAAGTTGAAGGATATGAAGGTATAGCACAGTGTAACAGTTCTGAATCTGCATTATCTGTCTGTTCAGGTTAAACAAGTCAATGGATGTGGCTTGTGGAGCCCAGCTTGTCACTATTAGGCAGGGAAAATATAAAAAAGCAAGAGAGAATAAATGACTAGGACTGGTTTGGGGTATGAGACATCAGTATGAATTTAACATTTAGTTTAATATAGGTAAATATGGATAGATACAGAAATGATAGGTGTGTGTATAAACATATGTTAGTTGTATACATGAATATATATCCTAAATAATTTGCTAAGGAATTCTAGAAACAATAACAATCCAATAGCTAAGAGCACACCCAGCACCTAGTTTTTGGTTTCTAAATGCCACTATTCAATGAAAAGGACAAGGGCTTGTAGAATTGGCTGTTCTAGGGCTGATTTAGGTAAAGCACCAAATGAGCCCAGAGTATCTTTTAGTATCAGAAAGCAAATAAGTACTCAAAAAGCCAAGGAGGGGCATGTCAAAAGAACATAAAAGCAAAATTGGAAGAGCTACTAATAGTCAAAGCTGGAATGATTTTAGCAATAAAATACATTGTGTGGTATTGGATTAAAAAACAGTGTCTAAAACAAATATACATGAGTCCATAATTATATAAATAAATGATTGGACAAACAAATAAATGGAGAGAAAGGGCACATCCTCCTAAGAGAAGAATTATAAATAATATAAGTAAATACTGCCCCCTCCAGGAGACAGGCCTGAATTCCAAACCTATTCATCTGAAAATTCTTTGAAAACTAGATTAAAAGAAAACCTCCTTAATCTAACTAAGAGTATATCTAAAAATCTACAAAGATAATATTTAGTGGTTAATATTAAAACATTTCTACTTGTGAGTAGGAATGAGACACACAGGAATTCTAGCCAGTGCTATAAGTTTCTAGCAAGAGAAAAAAAAATGCATACACAATGGAAAAGAGAGAAAAACATGACTTTTTAAACAAGTGACATGATTGTGCACATGGAAACTCCAAAACAATCGAATGAAAATTATTATAATTTGGTATTTCAAGGTTTCTGGATCCAAGGCCTGTATACAAAAACCACATATTTCTGCACATTAATGACAAAAATAGAATGTGAAACTTATAATGATATAACTTATAACAGCATTAAAACATATCCCATGCAGAGAAATAAATTATATAAAAGATGTGCAACCTCTTTACACAGAACATTAGTTTGCACTGAGAGAAATTAAAGAAAATCTAAATCCCTAAAATGTTCTGTTGTTACTGACACTGAAACAGTCATAGTTATAAAGATATAATTCTTAAATCAATAAATTAAATGCAATAACAATAAAAATCACCTAGGATCTTGAGAGGTTTATTGTGGGGGGTGAATTGATAACTTTATTTGAAAAGTTCAATGGGGCACCTTGGTGGCTCAGTCAGCTAACTTTGGCTCAGGTCATGATCTCACAGTTTGTGAGTTCAAGGCCCTCATCAGGCTCTGTGCTGACAGCTCAGAGCCTGGAGCCTGCTTCAGACTCTATGTCTCCCTCTCTCTCTGCCCCTTCCCCACTCATGTGCACTCTCTCTCTCTCCGTGTCTCTCTCTCTCTGTCTCTCTCTCTCAAAAATAAATTAAAAAACATTTAAAAATTTTATTGAAAAAGAAAAAAAAGAAAATGTAATGGAAGCATATGGGAAAATAGACAAGACAAACATTGATGGATAATAAAGATGGAGGCATCTACTGAATACCAGGGGTTATTTTTAAACTTCATGAAAATAGTATGTTGGTGCAAAAATATGCAAATAGAGCAATGGAGCAGAATAGAGACTCTAGAACCAAACACAAATATAGTCATTTGATCAAGGATGATGCTTTCTTTGTAGTGCAGTAGAGAAAAGATGATTTTCAGTAAGGTGTTTATCCCTTCCTCTATGCTCTTACCAATAAGCCTTTTATATTTCTCTTAAGTAATTTCACTTAGTCCATGTTCTTGTATGATACAGTTAATTCAGGATTTCTGATTTCTAAAAAACAGATACAAAATACTTGACTTGCACCTCTTCACAAATAACTTTTTATTCTTCTCCTTCCCCAGTATGCAACTCTTCAGGACACTCTGGCTTGGTGCTTGCCTGCTTATCAGACCCCAACAACCAGTGCAAAGACAAGTACAGTTTTCTGAGTGTTGTTGATTGCAAACCTGGATTCATTGAAGGCAAACTTTCCAAAGGTATTGTCATTCACCAGGACGTTAGTTTATCCCCAGCTTAACTGCTTACTTACATTAATTTTTGCCTAATAACATGGGTATTCAAGGCTGTGAATGTTGCTTTCATTATAGCTTCAGACATTTCTCCCAGGGTAGGATTTGTAGAGCTTGAAATAATTTGTTTTCTAAAAATTCTGTGATGTTAGTTTTACTTTCTTTTTTTACTCATTAGTTAAGAAGGAAATTTTTGTGCGATGAGAGAGCTGCATGAATTTCTCTTTTAAAGTATCATGGTTCCTCTACCTATTATATTCCAGGTTTAGTGAATTAAGTTCTGAGACTTTGGTCTTTACTATTATTCCATTTTAAATTATTTTTTTTCCTTACAGTCTTTTTGTCTATTTTCTGTAAATATTCAACTGGTTCAAATTATTATAGGCTTTTTTTTACTGCAGTTTTCCTTAAAAGCTAAAATTACACCTTCCCTAGCTCTACTCCTAAATTAGTTCACTGATACTTTAAAAGGATAAAATTTCTGAAACATTACAATATGGTCTGGTATTTGAGTCTGTCTTGTCACGGTTATTCTCTGAAGAAATTGAACAGTGAGTTCCTTTTTTTTTTCACCATGATATAGATCATTACTGGTCTTCTTCCTATTTTCTTGGTTAACTGTTTTCTCAGAGATTCTTTTCACTGAAAAGACTGAAAAGATGAGGGTGGTTAGTGTACCTAGTCCAGACTCACCACCCATAGTGTGTAGAAGGCCAGTTAATTTTCAGGGTGCAAATGATTCTGGGTCTCTTAGGAAGAAGTCAATATGTAGATGAAATGGTACAAAGGGCCTCTGATGCTGTTACTGTCTGTTTGTGAGACAGCTTGAGCTTGCCCTGATGTGCTGGCTGAGCAAATCCACATTAGTTATCACTGATGCAAACCGTTTTCATGGTCCATGTAGTCTGCAGTATTTCAGAACGTTTCACAGGTCAGGTGATAATATAAAGGGATAATATCTTTATTTTAGTTTATTCAACAAAAAGTAGAATCTTTGTGCTTTTTTAAATTATTTTTTTAGCATTCATTTATTTTTGAGAAACAGAGAGAGACAGTGTGATTAGGGAAGAGCCGGAGAGAGAGAGGGAGACATAGAATCTGAAGCAGGCTCCAGGCTCTGAGGTGTCAGCACAGAGCCTGACACGGGGCCTGAACCCATGAACTGTAAGATCATGACCTGAGCCGAAGTCAGATGCTTAACCAACTGAGCCATCTAGACACCCCTCTGCTTTTTTTTTTTTTTTTTTTTATCTTCAGGAATTACTTTTACATTTATTTTGAAATATATCACACTCTATGTGGCTTTACATACTAAAAATCCCTAGGTTAATCACATAGATCTTGAAGGCCATTTGCAATACTTTTCTTGGATGTGTGCTAGTAGTAAGTGCCTCCATATGGATCTGCATTTAGGCTTTTCATGTGTACACACTCAAACCTGGATCTGCCTGCCTACCCTGCAAAAATCTAAACTCTATGACATCTTTTCAAAGCAAAGGAGAGAGAAAGAGAGGAGAAAGGAAATATCTGCAAGACAAAGTTCCCATGATTCTTGTCACTCTATTTTTCAGGTATGACTCGTCAGAATGTTTGCTGATTTTACTTTGCCACTACATCTCAAAGCTAATCTTGAACTGCAGCAAGATTGGGCCCCTCTACTGTTCACAAATATGCTATTGAAGGCTCATTGTTAATCTTCCCTTTGTAGTCCTAATCTATAAATTTAGGTAAAATCAAGCCAGTCTTATTGAGGTCAAAATTCAATTGACATATCTCAGAACGATAACTTCATCATAAGATCTTCCCATCTTTTATTTATATAAAAAATTCTGAGAAGTGTTATCCAAAGTATAAGTTCACTGATATTCTAAATCATAAGCAAGGAATTATCAAAACACAGAAACTAAACTGAGAGGAAGAACCTGGGTAAGCCCAATAGATTAAAGGCTAAAAGCCAGCTATGGGAAATATTTACAAAGGAAGACAGAACCTAAAGATTGAGCAATTTCTGAAGTGACAATGGAGACATTCTCTAGATTGCTTGTGACCTTAGAAATGGATATAAAGGAAGCGTTAAAGTGAACCCCATATTTCCATAGCTGTGGAAAGCTGAAACTGCAAAGCCATATTAAACTCTTTTTCAAAATATCACTTACTCGGGTCATGAATTCAGTGAGAAAATGTGCAGAAAACAAACTAAGACTTATATCTTTTCAGAACTCACCTGAAAAATAAAGCACCATAGAGATTTTTGTCTGACATCTCACCATCAAAAATAAATGATTATAAAGAAGAAGATGCCCAGAATTTCAAAGAAACATCCATATATTGCTTCAGGAGATAACCACAATTGCTTCCATTGAATGCTGATTCAAGAAAACCTGAATATTATATATAGAATGTGTGAAAATGAGCTCTACTCTCTGGCCATCAAACACCCACTTCCACAAGTTATTAACAACTCTTATTAATACTACCTCCTAAATGCCTCTTACTATTCCTGTTGTCAACTGATCCCCTGGGAAAGGAGCAAAGGCAATACAATAGAGCAAAGGTAGTCTCTTCAACAAATGGTGCTGGAAAAGTTGAATACTTACCTACAAAAAAAAAATTAATCTAAAGACAAACCTTTAATCACTTCACAAAAATTAACTCAAAATGGATCACATTTCTAAATATTACATGCAAAACTGTAAAGTTCCTAGAAGATAGCATTGGAAACAGCCTTGATAACCTTGGGTGTGGTGATGCCATTTTAGATACAGCATCAAAGCCACAATCCACAAAATAAATATTGATAAGGTGGACTTCATTAAAATTAAAAACTTTTACTCTGTGAAAAACAATGTCAAGAGAATGAGAAGACAAGCCACACTCTGGGAGAATATATTTGCTAGAAACATATATGATAAAGGACTATTATTCAAAGTATACAAAGAACTGTTAAAGCTTAACAATAAGAAAAAAAATTCAGTTTAAAACATGGGCTGAAGACCTTAACAGATCTCACCAAGGAAAATATACAGATGACAAATAAGCATATGAAAAGAGGTTCCATGTATGTCACTGGAGAAAAGCAAATTAAACCAACAGTGAGATTCACACCTCTTAGAATGGCCAAATTCTGGAACCCTGACAACACCAAAGTCTGGTGAGAATGTAGTAGGAATGCATTTATTGCTGGCAGGAATGCAAAATGGTACAACCACTTTAGAAGACAGGTTGATGGTTTCTTATAGAACTAAACATATTCTTACATATGATTCAAGAGTCATGCTCATTGGTATTTACACAGAGGAGTTGTAAACTAATATGCACACAACCTTGCATAGGATTTTTTATAACAGCTAATTTATTCATAGTTGACAAAACTTAGAAGGAACCAACATGCCCTTTAGTAGGGGTGAATAAAGTGTAGTACATTAGACAATGGAATATGATTCAGTGCTACAAAAAAGTAAGCTATCAAGCCATAAAAAAACATGCAGGAAACTCAAATGCCTATTACTAAGTGGAAAAAGCCAATCTGAAAAGACTATACACTGTATGAGTCCAACTATATAATATTCTGGAAAAGACCAAACTATGCAGACAAAAAAAAAAGATCAGTGGTTGCCTGGGAGGTGGGGAGGGGGATTTGGAAGAGACAAAGGACAGCAGATATTAGCAAAGTGAAAATAGTTTGTATGGTACTATAATAATGGATACATATCATTATACATTTGTCCAAACCATAGAATGTACAGTTCCAAGAGTGAATCTTCATGTTAACTATGGACTTTGGGTGACTATGATGTGTCAATGTAGGCTCATCCTTGGTAACAAAATGTACCACTCTTGTGAGTAATGTTGATATAAGGTATACTATTCATGTGTAGGATCAAGGGTATATGGTAAATCTCTGTACCTTTTTCTCAAACTAGGAAGTATGGATATGCCACAGTTAATGGTGGAGGGTTAAATAAGAAAGTGATGTAATGTCATTTGTTACTTAAAGATAATTCAAGTAACGCTGTAGAAGACTCTTAGGCTGGGGGATATTTCAAAGAGATAGGAATTCATTCAACATATGTTTTGTCAAGACAAAATTATGTAAGGGCTATGGATTAGGTTTTTGCCTCTGTTCGTTCTGTGAGAAGGGGTGTAGCATAAACCTTACAGCCTATTAGGCCTACGTTCAAGTGTGGCTCTAGAAAATGCCAGCTGTGAGACCTTAGTCAAGTTGTCTTAACCTCTTTTGCCCTTTTTTTCACCCATGAAACAGGAATAATAATAGCAATTTTGTAAGTTTTGTAAAGATTATAGGAAATAGTAGATGTTAAGCTCCTAAACTAAGATAACTGACAAAAAAATAGACACATAATAATTTATATTTGCTGTCATTAGTATGCCTAGAGATAATGCTTTTAGTGTTTAATTTCTAAAAGTGGTTTAATTCTGTATGTAATCAACAAGACACTCTTGACCTGTTTTGCCTAATGACATGTCTGCAATATTTCTCCTCTAAATACAACTTTAGTATTGTGTGTCTGGCTTCTTTCTGGTCCTCAAGTGTTTTTTACCGCAACAAAATGGTGGGGAAGAGGAGAAGTGTAAACCAGTCTGGCAGAAATCTGTTTCTACTTGGGATTAAGGATGGAAATTGACCCTGCTTGGTATGGCATGACTCTCCTTGTATCCCTACTTGCCATGCTTGATGGCGGTAACTTAGTTTATGCCCAGTATCAAACATGTTAGCATAAAATGTCACAGTAGCCCAGGAGAAGAGATGGTGAGAATCTGTATCATGTCTATGGCTGTGGAATAGATTTGAACATTTATGACGATGTATCAATGACCTTGCTGGATAGGGGAGATGAAGTGGCAAAAACAAAAGAATTGATTCTCGGGCTTTTGGCCTGTTTGGATGAGTTTTAATATTACACAACTGAGAAGTCATCATATCTCCCTTTATTCCCTATTATTTGGTTCTTTCTGAGCTATCTCACTTTCTCCTAGAACCCGATTGAACATAATTCAGCATTTCTTAAAATTATCTCTGAAAGGTACACATCTGCAGAATCATTGCTGGGCAATATGGGGTTTACTGAAGACCAAGGTGAGACAGTGATAATTTTTTAGGAATTCTTTAAAAGTATTTTTTGGGTGAAGCATATTTCATTTTTGCCCATGATTCTTACCTCCATAGAATGTCCAGTCTTAATAAAAAAAAAAAAAGAAAGTATAGTCTTGCCAGAAGCTCTTCTGTTTTCCATTATTTCCTCTATGTATTTCTAATCACTCACTGTTTGGTCAGGAGTAGTGAATTCAGTTCTGCTCCCAGCTTCCATTTCCAAAGTCACATATGAAATTCACAAAACATGTGGGACAAAATTTCCCTCTTCCTGTGGTTCAAATATCAGTACCCCGAAAATGAGTCACATCCCAAGAAGAATAATAGAAGCTCTGTTTATCTTTTTATAATATTAGTTATGAGATAGAAAATAGCGTGAAAAATAATAATGGCCAATATGGATGAGAGGTAGGATTTGTATATGTTCAATTTTAATATGTTTGTATGCTTTTGTAATATCTAGGTTTGCTGTCTGGGATGCTGTTGGAAATCGGGTTTTGGAATATGACCAGGAATGGATCTGCAACAGATTAGTGTTGAGATGGCTGAGACGGGTTAAGAAATTATCTGAATATATAGATTAGAATATAATAGGGCTGGAATGAAGTGACCAACAAGGGAGGAAAATTCTTCCAGTACTTTTATATCAGGATGTTCTTGGGAATGTCTATTTAGCCACTGTATTTCCTTACAGGTTACCCACTAAATACCCACTAGATAGCCAATCTTCCAAATCTCTCAATATATTATGAGAAGCCAATATATATGTCTTTAATTACTTAATACATAATAAATAGAAAAGTCCTTTTAACTATAAAATTTAGATAAAGTTAAAGGCAAATTAAAATTTTTCTTAATGCTTGTATCCCTCACCGTGAACTGAATTCCACGACTGTAACTTAGACTCTGATATTTACAAAGGAAACCATTATTTTGAATTTTGAATTTTCCTTTAAAAAAAACAAATTGTGTTTTTCTGTCTTACTAATAGGATATTTCTATTAAACCATATAATTTAAAGGTTGTATTTATATAAATTGCCTAATTCCATGCTTTGAATATAATACGAATACTTCTAAATAACAAAGTTATCTAACATTTATAGATATGGGGGCAATTCTAAGGGCTTTATATATTGTTAGAATGTTTAATATTAAAAATAATCTCATGGGGCGCCTGGGTGGCTTAGTCGGTTAAGCGTCTGACTTTCGCTCAGGTCATGATCTAGCGGTTCGTGGGTTCGAGCCCCGCGTCGGGCTCTGTGCTGACTGCCAGCTCAGAGCATGGAGCCTATTTCAGAATCTGTATCTCCCTCTCTCTCTGACCCTCCCCTGCTCACACTGTCTCTCTCCTAGAAATAAATAAAAATATTAAAAAAAAAATAATCTCATAAAATAATTTATGAAGTAGATGATAGCATTTATGAACTTTTATTCTCATCCTTATTTCAGAGATGAGGAAAATGAGTCAGGGAAGGGTAAGTAACCTGATCAAACTTACACAGATGGTCAGTTTGAACCAATGCAGTTAGATTTCCAGCACTGATACTATAAAAACTATATAATACTGTAGTGTTGTTACTTATCTGCCTTTTGCAACAATGAAATTTCAAAAATTCAAAGTGGGTACTTCTTACCCAAATATACAATTCATAAATGGAAAGGATTTTAAAAATTCATGACTTCTGACTTCAGGCTAAGGCTTTTGTTTGTCTCTTTATTTGTTTGCTGGTTATTTTTCCTTGCTTTTTTTTTTTTTTTTTCACTTTCTATCCTACTGCTATATAAGCTATGGAAAAATGTAGAAAGAAAAAGGCAGATGGTCATAACAAGTTATTTACTCCATATAAATTAATCAACACTATGCCTGATAACATGCTGGGTATATAGATAGAAATAGACAAAACAAAAACAAAAACAAAAAAAGGTTTTGTTACTGAGAGACAGAAAAGGAAAAAAGCCCCAGTTCTTTTCCCTGCCACAGTAAAGAATTATAGGACAGTGAAATAAAATTATTAGCAGAGCAAATTTTATTAAATTACATTCCAAGGTAGGAGGGGGTCAGTCGAGAGAGAGGATGACCCCAGAAACTCCAGGGTGTGGGCTTATATCAATTTTTTTTCCTTTGGGCCAGTTCTAGGGTCTCATCATTAGAGTGACAGGCCTGGATTGTATAATAATTAGCCATCTACTCATGTCCTTTCCCAAGATACCCTGGAAATGCCTGCCTGGGGTGGGAAACTGCAACATTATTTCTATTCTAACGACATAGGTCAAATAAGGACAAGCAGCTGCCTTCTCTACAAGTGCAACAAGCAGGACAAACTTAACTATTCCTCTGCCAGGATATTGTAACCTACAACCCACTGCTAGATGGGTAGAATGAGGTGATCCCTGGGCCGATCCATCAAGACATATAAGATCAGTCCTCCTGTCACTCATGCCTAGTTTCCTGCCTAACAGTTTCTGGTCTTTAAATTCAGTAGTGGAGTCAAATAACGAAATGTGTAATCCCCATTCTCTTAAGAGTGGGCTGGTGATTGAAACTTAGTGACTTGCTTCTGAAGGATAAAGGATGCAAAAGGAAAAATAGGTGCTTTATAAAGGATAAAGCTGACAGTCACTACCTGAGCCAAGTGATCAGGCTAACATCATCAGGAATAAGACATATTAATATTGTGTGCCTTCTGATACGAGATAAGGGGGAAGTTAACTTCACCTCTGTGATATTCTTCCTCAAAATCCATAAGCACAGGCTAATCAGAAGAAACATCAGGGAAAAAAAAGGTCTAATTGAGAGACCTCAAAATATGACTAGTGTTCTTGAAATCTATCAAAATTATGAAAAATAAAGGTAGATAAAATGTAACAAATCAGAAAATACAAAAGATACAATAACTAAATGCAGTGAGAGATCTATTCTTAATCCATAGATCCCAGAACCACACACATATACACACACAAGACATTAGTGGACAAACTACTTGGTGGTGAAATCCAAATTAAGTTTTTAACTTATTTACCAATGTTGTTGTAATTTAAATGTCCTACTTTTAATAAATGTACTATGGTTATACATTAATGTAAGGGTAAGGTAGGTGAGGCGTGTAGGAGTACTAAACTCACCTATAAACTTCTATAAACTTAAAATCACTTAAAATTGATAATTTGGGGCACTTGGGTTGCTCTCGGCTCATGTCACAATCTCATGGTTCGTGAGTTCGAACTCTGGGTCAGGCTCTGCACTGACAGCATAAAGCCTGCCTGGAATTCAGTCTCCTTCTCTCTCTACCCATACCCGACTCCTGTGCTCACTAGCTCACCCTCTCTCTTTCTCTCTCAAAATTAATTAATTAATTAATTAAATTTTTAAACAGTGTTCAATAATTACAATGTTGGTAAGTTTTGTTTTAAGGAAAGAGGAGGGTGCCCTTAAGAACACATGTGAAGAAGTGTCTAGAGTTGGGGTGGCAAATTATAGTCTGATAGTACAAGTGCTGCCTTGGCCTATATTGCGATGGCCTGAGAGCTAATAATAGTTTCACCATTTTAAAGGATTATAAACAAAACAACAACAAAGAATATATGACAGAGACCTTATGTGGTCTGCAAAACTCAAATATTTACTATTGGCCCTTTGCAGGAAAATGTCACCATTCCCAGGTTGAGAGAATCAAGAAACAACACTTGGAAGGAAGACCTTCTAAACTAAAAACTGAAAAGTGGGAAGGCATCAGCCTGAGGACGCAGCACATGAGTATAATGAAAGGGTAAGGTGCTAAAATGCGAGGCAATGTTCCAGGTCAAAGAGAGGCATATGGGAAGGCAGAAGGAATGTGAGATCATTGTCCCTTTAGAAACTAGAAGTGGAAATAATGGCCACATGACTGGAGAGCTGGATGATACCACAAAAGAGGACTTGATGCTGATGAGTTAAGCAAGGGCTGGAGCCTGCATGTATGCCACACGACTATATTCATAATTCATGACGGTGATTAGATAGCTTATAAACTGCTGAATCCCATGATACATAGTGTATTTCTAAAACAGTTCACTCTGGAGAAAAGAGTGAAGGAAGAATAAGATTAGTGACTGACAGACCATTTAGACATTTGTAGTGTTCCATTAAAAAAAAAAATGTTGGCTTGTTCTAAAGTAATGACCATGAGATGAAGAGAACTGAAGAAATTTGAATTCAATTGATGGAGTAGAATTGGTAGCATTGGATATACATATAGAGGGAGACAGATGACAAAAATGACAGCACTCATTGGTGTTACTCACCAACATTGTGAATGTATGTTTGAGCAACTTTTGGAGGAAGAGATGTGACATGATTCTGGAGCATCAAGTACTAATTACAGATTATAGCCCAAGGTTTAGGTTTTTAGTTTAATGGGCTTTGATGATTCAGTTGGGAAACTGGCTAATGGTACCCAAACTCACCAAGTCACAAAACCTTAGGATGTCTTATAACTCTAAAGATTACCCTAGCCAGATATTCTAACCCTTGCTTGAATGTATTCTACAAACTTTTCTACCGAAAGCCATTCTCCTGATCTGAAACAACTTCCCATTCTTGCCCCAAGTAAACAAAACTCCCCGAAGACAGTGACCTGAAACATAAAAGTGCAACCTGCTAGAAAATCCAATAAACAAGGGCTTTCTAATTGCTCTATTGTTGTCTAATTGCTGCAGGCAAGAATTGTTGGAAGTGAGCTGCCTGCTGGCTGTGCCTGTATCCTAACCTTGAAATCTAGCCACTGCAAGTAAGGAGCACTGGTGGCCACTACGGGAGGCCTATCACTGGGTTTGCTGTTCTGTTTTTCCCTGCCTAAAAGTGCTCATCTGAGACATAGGTAATGGCTATTTCCTGGGGTGGCTATTCCATGACCCTTCATCCATTACTCAGGGCAGCCATTCACCTGTAAACTAAAACTGCTGGTCAAAAATGTATTGGAAAGTGGAGGGGAAGTGTCAATTTAGTTCACCTTCATACTTTATTTAAGTTATATTTTTTGCATCTTTTTAGTAAAATAAATATATTATACCCTAAGAAAAAATAATATACATACTGCTTTGTAAGGGGTATTCAAAGATGTTCTTTCAAGTTAGAGTTTGGTATCATTCCAACTAAATTTGAATATTCTTGAACATATATGATTTTTAAAATTTGTTTTAGACCTCTTTTCTAAACTATTGAATGAAACATAGTTTATTCTCAGCTAATCAGCCGTGAAAAGCCTCTTTCTTTGACAGTAAATATCATGAACAAGTTGCTACCACTCACCTGGTTGACTTTTATCCAGAACAACAAAATCTAATGTCAGTAGTGCTCATTAGGTAGGAAAGAAAATGAGACACTGGTGAGAGCTAGCCTTTCAACCTCAAATTTAAGAAGAAAAGCCAACACTAAAATTCTTTGCATGTGAAGATTAGCATATGAAGTGATATTTTTGAAATATCTTTCCCTGAAGGATAAATAGAAAATGTGAAAGGTTAAATAATTTACTGTGATAATTTAATTTATAAAGACAGCTCTGTAGTTGAATCAGTTTTCCTGAACTTTCATGCCTCTAAACAGATTATATGTGTATGTATATATATCAGCACACCCTAAAGCTCATATGTATATAATTACCATATGTAATAATGATGAACTGATGCTTTTTCAAAATTATTTTTAAAAAACCATACACATACACAAATGCCTAGGAAATCCAAGTAGCCAGGAAGATAAATTCTCTGAGCAGGTAAGAGGTGACTACAAAAAATAACCAACCAATCATCTAAGCAAACAAATAAACCTGAAGCAAAAATCACATACACACACAAAACAAGCCAACAAACAAAAACAAATTCAAGCTTTGTTTTAGGAAATTTTCCTATATTTTAAGAAAATATTTCCTAAAAGTCATTGGAACAGATTAGTGGCTTCTCTGTACTGAAATCACTTATCAAACTCAGGTCTTCCAAGTTCTCAGTGTCATTATTCTGAACTCTAATGACTTTTACCACACAACTAGAAACATAGCAAAAGGGTGTAAAATACTGGTCTTAGTGGGTTAGAATATATCTGATCAAATCTTTCAATTTGCATTAGTTTAAATTCAATATTAATGATATTTATCAAACATCTGTTTTTTCCTGAACTGTCACAGAGAAAATATTAGATAGTTTGGAGTGTTTTGGTGATCCAGTGGTTTTTGATAGTATCAATTTGCTTATATAATACTTTCTGATATATTGAATCACATGAAACTATGAGGGATTATAAAATATCAACAAGAATGATATATTCATGATGTAGATGTAACTGGGCCATTTTGGAGCTTATGATGATAAAAGAAAGGTATGTTCATCATGGTTTCATAGTTTCATAGTTCTCATAAATTTTTGGAAAGCAAATTTTTACATTTAAATTATAACAGGGGCACCTGGGTGGCTCAGTCGGTTAAGTGTCCAACTTCGGCTCAGGTCATGCATGGCCTCACAGTTCGTGGGTTCGAGCCCTGCGTCGGGCTCTGTGCTGACTTAAATGGTAACCATATAAGATGCATAGCAAGCAAGCCCAAATACCTTTTGCAAAATTCTAGATGTTTGTTCTTCCTTCCTTCATCCCTTCCTCACTCCCTCCCTTCCTTCCTTCCTTAATTGTAAGAGTTAAGAATATATATATATATGTATACATATATACCCCAGGGTATATACATGTATACCCCAAGGAAGACTATAAGAATGTGACAGAAATACAGAAGAGTCAGGAAGATCTGTGCTCAAAATGAGCTGTGGCTTGTGAGAGTGTTGAACATAAGCAGTTCTTCAGTCATTGTTTGCAGTGGGAGGATAAACAGAAAGGCCGTCAACCTGCTTGAGTCAGGTCCTATCCTTTTAATAGTCAAAAACAAAGGAGCCTCTCCCATTCTAATTTTTCTTCTATTACCATCAAGTACGAAGCTCTTCAAACTTAAGAGTGGAATAAATACAGAAAAGAACAAATTAAATACATCAATCAGATATCGCAGGGTTTAATTTCTTTGGGCATCAGAAAGATAACATAAAGAGGCATGCAGTATGTAAAATAATGGAGAGAGTGTGAAAGGACTGAAGAGCATAATCCTTTATCTACAGAGATATATATTCCACTATAAAAATTATTCTTAAATACCTTGTGTAGGGAAAATGGTGCCCAGCAACTGCTCTTTCTTTTTTATTTTTTTAACCTTTGTATCAAAAACTCGAAATACTTGTCTGGACATTTTTTTTTTTCTAGTATTGCAGTGTATAAGATGCTCTGGGGAAAAAAATCTCCTACCACACAAAACCCCTAGATACTGAATATATTATGACAAACATCTGTTTTTTAAATTTGGTTGGTTGGTTGATTTGGTTTCTCTTTGTTTTGTTTTGTTTTGAGCCACTCCTTACTGCTCAAGAAAATAAGAGAAATCTCAGTGGTCACAGATGAAAAAGGGTACAGATGAAAGAGGTCACAGATGAAACCAACGTAGATTCAAAGTTACTCTGGAGCCTATGCAGACACTGATAACTAAGAGAATATTTTAGTAGTTGTTCAGGCAGCAGGAAACATAGTTATGTCCCTTACAAAGAAGGAAATTAGGACACTCAGCTAAAACTAGAACCCATCCAGTGATATTCTCAATAAAATGGGCTGTGTGTTCAAAAAGGTATCATTCAAGAATTAAGCATTTACCTTCCCTCACACAGATTTCTGATTTGCATTAATCTTTGTGTCATCCCAAATAGCCCCAGAGAAATGTCAATGTAGGGTCATCCACAAAAAAAGAGGGATGCTCAGCTGAACCACTGAGCTGAAATAACAGAGTAAGGGTCTTAGAAATAGACATTCTGTTACTGGGTCTGACACTGCAAACCATTGTGAGATGGATGAGCAACAGGCCAACAACTGCTGCTGGACTGACAATACAATGTGGTTGGACTCTTGCCTCATAGCCTGCAGACCATCCAGTTACAGGAGAATTAGATATTAGCCGTGACAAGGAAACTTGAAACGTTTAGAATAAAATGTGCAGCACCATCCTGATAATTTCTGAAAAGGAAAGGATTTATTAACACAGAAGACTCAGTTATAATTGAAAGTTGCTAAGTTGGGGTGCCTGGGTGACTCAGTCTGTTAAGTGTCCAACTTCGGCTCAGGTCATAATCTCACAGTTTGTGGGTTCGAGCCCCAAGTCAGGCTCTGTGCTGACAGCTCAGAGCCTGGAGCCTGTTTCAGATTCTGTGTCTCCCTCTCTCTCTGACCCTTCCAGGCTCATGCTGTCTCTATCTCTCTCTCAAAAGTAAATTAAAAAAAAATTTTTTTAAATTTTAGAAAGTTGCTAAGTTGACTGTATTTAAAGATATTTTATTTAATAGCATTTAGAAAAATTAAAATACAATTATATCCCATAAAAAGATAATTATAATACATTTAATCAGCTTTAATTAGTATAAGTTGTATAGTATATATAAATAAAAATTAAAAACCATAATATAAACATAAAAACTTATAAGAAATGTATGCAAAAGAAAATAACAGACAATCCACAAAAGAGGATAGCTGAATTTTCAATAAAGATTTGTAAAGATGATCAGCTTCACTATTAAACAGAAGGTTGTCAATTAGAAAACATAAAAATATATCCTTTCATACCCATTAAACAAACATATTTTTAAGTTGTAAAAATAACAAGAATTGCCAATAATGTGCAACAATGCAACAGCTATACTATACAAGAAGAAATGTAAA